TCTGTGTATTTCCCTGAGTAACAATTCTGTGTCCCTCAGTAACAATTCTGTGCCCTAAGTAACGTTTCTGTGGCCCTAAGTAACGATTCTGTGGCCCTAAGTAACGTTTCTGTGGCCCTAAGTAACGATTCTGTGGCCCTAAGTAACGTTTCTGTGGCCCTAAGTAACGATTCTGTGGCCCTAAGTAAAGGTTTTCTGTGGCCCTAAGTAACGTTTCTGTGGCCCTAAGTAACGATTCTGTGGCCCTAAGTAACGTTTCTGTGTCCCTAAGTAATGTTTCCTGGTGTCCCTAAGTAACGATTCTGTGGCCCTAATTAACGTTTCTGTGGCCCTAAGTAACGATTCTGTGGCCCTAAGTAACGTTTCTGTGGCCCTAAGTAACGTTTCTGTGTCCCTAAGTAACGTTTCTGTGTCCCTAAGTAACGTTTCTCTGGCCCTAAGTAACGTTTCTCTGTCCCTAAGTAACGTTTCTCTGTCCCTAACTCTCTCCCTGCATACAGCCAGGTCTGCTTCTGTTTGAATGACTGGAGGCAAATGGAGAATTCTAAAATGGCCGCCATTTATAGCTCGACCATTACACAGTGCTGGCTGGCTGGCTGCTGATTGGCTAATGCGATCACATGTCATGAATGAATGCATTATGGGTCAGCGTGCCTTGTCTGCGCGCCTTCCCAGACATACCCACTCCGTCGCCGCACATGTCGCCGCCATTTTAGGAAAAATTTCGATTCGCGCATCCGAAGTATGCTAATTTTCGGATTCGTCGCGAATCGAAATTTTCCTAATATTCGAAACGAATTCCACTTCGCCTAGTTCGATTCGCTCTTATTCCCTCATTATCCCATTTACAATGAGCAGATAAAAGTTCCAGAGTTAATTTCAAGTGTGCTATTTGCATCTGGAATCTGTTGCTGTCAACTCTCAAGATGAGATCCAAAGAGCTGTCACTATCAGTGATGCAAGCCAATGCCATCATTAGGCTGAAAAAACAAAACAAACCCATCAGAGAAATAGCAAAAACATTAGGCGTGGCCAAAACAACAACTGTTTGGAACATTCTTAAAAAGGAAGGAACGCACCGGTGAGCTCAGCAACACCAAAAGACCCAGAAGACCATGGAAAACAACTGTGGTGGATGACTGAAGTATTCTTTCCCTGGTGAAGAAAACACCCTTCACAAACAGTTGGCCAGATCAAGAACACTCTCCAGGAGTAGGTGTATGTGTGTCAAAGTCAATAATCAAGAAAAAACTTCACCAGAGTGAATACAGAGGGTTCACCACAAGATGTAAACAATTGATGAGCCTCAAAAACAGGAAGGCCAGATTAGAGTTTGCCAAACGACATCTAAAAAAGCCTTCACAGTTCTGGAACAACATCCTATGGACAGATGAGACCAAGATCAACTTGTACCAGAGTGATGGGAAGAGAAGAGTATGGAGAAGGAAAGGAACTGCTCATGATCCTAAGCATACCACCTCATCAGTGAAGCATGGTGGTGGTAGTGTCAGGCGTGGGCATGTATGGCTGCCAATGGAACTGGTTCTCTTGTATTTATTGATGATGTGACTGCTGACAAAAGCAGCAGGATGAATTCTGAAGTGTTTCGGGCAATATTATCTGCTCATATTCAGCCAAATGCTTCAGAACTCATTGGACGCCGCATTACAGTGCAGATGGACAATGACCCAAAGCATACTGCAAAAGCAACCAAAGAGTTTTTTAAGGGAAAGAAGTGGAATTTTATGCAATGGCCAAGTCAATCACCTGACCTGAATACGATTGAGCATGCATTTCACTTGCTGAAGACAAAACTGAAGGGAAAATGCCTCAAGAACAAGCAGGAACTGAAGACAGTTGCAGTAGAGGCCTGGCAGAGCATCACCAGGGATGAAACCCAGCGTCTGGTGATGTCTATGCGTTCCAGACTTCAGGCTGTAATTCACTGCAAAGGATTTGCAACCAAGTATTAAAAAGTGAAAGTTTGATTTATGATTATTATTCTGTCCCATTACTTTTGGTCCCCTAAGAAGTGGGAGGCACATATGCAAACTGTTGTAATTCCTACACCGTTCACCTGATTTGGATGTAAATACCCTCAAATTAAAGCTGACAGTCTGCAGTTAAAGCACATCTTGTTTGTTTCATTTCAAATCCATTGTGGTGGTGTAAAGAGCCAAAAATGTTAGAATTGTGTCGATGTCCCAATATTTATGGACCTGACTGTATGTATATATATATATATATATATATATATATAATATATATATATATACACAAAGCTGCAATGTAGACACCGTCGTAAGGCTTGCACTCTCTAGAGTAAACCGGACTCTGTAGTAGAGGAATAGAGGAGAGAGAGAGGTGCGCCAGACTAAGTGCAGTAAAATCATAACAGTTTATTGCACACAAGATATTAAAAGGCTGGTTGCCTTGAAACGTGTCACCGCCCCCTTGGACGACTCCCAGGAACGTCTTGACGTCACTTCCGCTCGCCGGCCATCTTGGATGCGCCTCAAGCTGGCCCCATCACCCACGCTGATGTGAGAGACCAGCAGCGCCCGCCCTGAGCACGGTTTCCTCCCTGCACCGCGACTCCCGGTAACTGCGCCTGCCATCCTCGCTCCTTCCTTTGAGACCCGCCTAGAGCGCCAGCCATTGTGAATACCCTGGCACTGCAGCCATCCGCCCGTGATGTGCAGCTCAGATGACGTCCTCCTTCTTATACCTGATGCCTGATATATAACCACGTCTTGTGAGTTTTTAATATCTTGTGTGCAATAAACTGTTATGATTTTACTGCACTTAGTCTGGCGCACCTCTCTCTCTCCTCTATTCCTGTAATAAACCAACAGCAGCCCTCCTACTTCAATCTCCAAGAACACCCCTGCCACCACCATGTGCGGGCATGTGAGTCTGCTTACCTTGGATTTGACCTCAAAATCATAAGAGGTCAAAACAGGCATTGAATGTTGGAATATGAAAAGGAGAAACTCCACTCCTACACCTTAAACTAGATATTGGGACATCGCTCAGGTCCTCCTCAATCTTGTTAACCAAGTGCGGCAAAATCTTTGAAATAATAGAACCACATCTAGTGCTCTCTGTTTTAAAAGGTTTATTAATAAAAAAAATAGCATTCCAACTCACATCAGTAAAAATCAAAGCATTCCATCAACATTTCCTTTGAGATCAGGAAAAGTCAGAATATGAAACAAACTCACAAATACAGCTGAAAACCAGTGTGATGACCTTACACAGAGCTCCACCCACCATTGTAACACAGGGTGAGCTCCTAGCAACTTGTAAATTGGATGTGCACAAAACTGATGCTGCTCATAAAAACAAACTGGCTTGGCTGCTCCACCCACCATTGTTTCATCATCATGCTGGCTTGGCTTGTATTAGCAAGTGGGTGCTTGTATTTGGATGATCTGCACAACTGCTGCTGCTCATTTATCTTGCATTTATTTTGAAACCCACGGTGTACAATTTAAAAATACAGTGAGCTAACGCATTTCAGCATACATGGCTTTAGCCATAACCAATATTATTACATGGAACCACAAAATAAATAGTTGTAGCAATTTCAGGGGATCATAAATAAGCTGTTAATATAGGGGGATCAGGAAGGAGGATATTTGTGCCTGTTGGAGCAAATTAAATCTTGCATTAGAAGGGTCTTGAATTATCCTTTCTATGTAAGTGGTCTCCCAGTATTCTGTACCAAGTCATAAGAAAGTCAATCACCTGTTTTATATCACTGGTCATCTATTTAGGAATACTAGATGAGCTGTCACTCAGTCAACCTATTAGGAAATGTGTTACATTCCTGCAACTTTCCCTTTACTGCAGTACCATTGCCATGAAAATGTTACAACTGGTTGGCTACTTATTCAGTATTTGCTACAGATTAAATTCAATGTAATAAACAGGTTTAGTCTATAGTTAGAATGTTGACAGAGATATGGAGAGGGTAGTAAAGAACAGCATCTAATCAGATTTCCATTTTCCAACAACTAAGGAATTATTTCTAGTTGTATGTCATTACTGTTCACTTCTTTTCTGTTCTCCTTTCTTTCAGTGGGAAGCAAAACTTCAGAATCTCATCTAGTATGTGGCAAGGGATCCTGTTCAGGTGTGCAGCACTGCTGAGCCAGTGATAAATAGGTGATATTTATAAGGAGAGTGTACTGCTAAGCAAATTCCCCGCAATATGGAGCTGCTGAATGGGGAATATGCTTTAAGTGGTTGTAAACCTCTGACATGAACCATGAACAAAGCCTATCCTTCCAGAGTGGGTACTTGTTTTAATCTAAAGCAATTACTGTTATTTCTCTCTGCTGCCTCGTTCCTGCCTGAGTCAGTTCTGACAAGTTTTCCCGACTCCAAGAGACAGAGGAAGACAGGGGAGGAGAGCTCCAGCACACAATCTTATTTTACAGCTTCAGCTGTGCATGCTTCCTGTGTGTTGCAAGGAGAGGTATGTGTCCTTTTCCTCCAGTAAGATCTCAGAGCTCTGCTTTCTGAGCCGTGCAATATGGGACCACCACCCCCTGCTTTATGACAGCTCAGGCAAGCTGTGTAAATTCTGCACTTTGAACGGCTGTAGAGAAGAGAGGTCTGTAGAGAAACAGGTACAGCTTATAGAGGAGGATTTGTTTTATCTCTCTTTATCACCTGAGGCCAGTCACTTCACTGGATACACATAAGGGTTTTAAATAACTAAAAGAAACGAAACGTGCAAGACAGCTTTGTCTATGATTTACTAGGGACATCACATGAATAGTGACATCCACTTTGAACTCTTTACGTGACATTCGAAGTACCCTTTCCCAGCCCATCATGCCACAGAGCAGGTAGTCATACTACATGCCAACTTGTATGCAGCATATAGTAATTCAATATAAAAGGCAAGCTTCAAGCATTTGAGCTACCTGAATTAAAAACATAATTTAGATCAAATAACCACATTAAAAGGTAGTTTGTTTCTTTGTTTATCATTTCTGTTCATCCTTTTTTCCAAAGAACTTTCCCAGGGAATGCCGTATCTCCTGGTTCCTTAAACTATAAATAATAGGATTGAGCATAGGCGTAACAACTGTATAAAGTAAAGATAACACTTTGTTGGTATCTAAGGAAAATCGAGACATGGGCTGCATGTACATGGCTGTTATGGTACCATAGTAAATCATAACAACAGTTAAGTGGGAAGCACATGTGGAGAAAGCCTTCTTTCTTCCAGTGGCTGAAGGAATCTTTAAAATTGTGTAAATTATAAAGATGTAGGAGAGTACAGTTAGGAGGAAGGAGGTAAATATAAGTCCAGTTGCCAATGTAGAAATTGCTGTTTCTGTAAAGCGGGTACTGCTGCAGGACAGTTTAAGAAGAGGTTGAGAATCACAATAAAAGTAATTCACTTGATTAGGACCACAAAAGATAAGTTTAGATATTAATACAACTGGAAGAATTGGTGAAATGAAGCCTCCAATCCAAGATCCAGAGGCCAGCTGGTGTGAAGTTGAGTTGGTCATTTTGGTGGTATAATGCAGAGGCTGGCAAATAGCTAGGTATCGATCATAAGCCATGGCAGTAAGTAGATAACACTCAGAGGCTCCAAGAGAACTGAACAGATACAGCTGAATCATACAGTTATTGAAAGAAATACTCCTGTTACTTGTTACAAAGCTGGACAACAATTTAGGGACAATGACTGAAGTGTACCAGATTTCCATAGCAGACAGATGGTTCAGGAAATAAAACATAGGTATTTGCAACTTGTAGTTTCTCAGCACGGCTATGAAAATGGTGATGTTTCCTGTAACAGTGAAGATGTAGATAAGTAAGAAAAGTAGAAACATCAAAGGGTAGATGTCCTTTAAACTGGGAAAACCCAAAATGATAAATTCAGTTACTATTGTTTCATTGCTCTGTCCACCCATTCCACTGCAGAATACTAAAAGAAAGAAAAACAAATATTAGAAATCACTACATACAGTATGAAATGAATATTGGATCTGCTTACAACAAAAGTGAAATACAGCCATCACATCTAAGAACTGGTAACCTGCAATATAATAAATGTTCACCTTCCTCCTGCCCAGGCCAATTTTCAGCTTTCAGTGCTGTCACACTTTGAATAACAATTGTGCGGTCATGCAACACTGTACCCATATGACATTTTTAGACACAAGTAGAGCTTTCCTTTGGTGGTATTTAATCACCACTGCTTTTTTTATTTTTGCACTATAAACGAAAAAAGACCAAAAATTTAGAAAAAAAATAAAGTTTTTCCTTGTTTCTATTATAAAATTTTAGCAAACAGGTAAATTTTCTCTTTCACTGATGCAGATTATTGAGACTGCACTGATAGGCAGCACTGATGGGCACTGATAGGCAACACTAATGGGCACTGATGAGGCTGCAATGATAGGCAGCACGGATGGGCACTGATAGGTGGCACCAATGGGCACTAATAGACAGTACTGAAGGGCACTGACTGGCCACACTGACTTGCGACACTGACAAACAGCACTGACTGGCAACACTGATAGGTGGCACTGATTGGCAGCACTGATGGGCACAGATTGGTAGCACTGCTGGGCACGGATAGGCAGCACTGTTGGGCACTGATGGGCAGCACTGTTGGGCACTGATGGGTACTTTTGGGGCTACACTGATAATCAGGGCACTCATCAGTGTCTCCTTTCACAGTTGCCATTTATCACCAGTACTTTACTCTCCTTGTGACAGCATGAGGAAAGTACTGCCGATAACCAGCAAATGTATTTACATGGTGATCAGCTGTGATTGGACGCAGCTGATCATGTGGTAAAAGGCCGCTATGATTGGCCCTTTACCATGTTATGTGATCAGCTGTGTCCAAAGGACACAGCCATCACAGAGAGCGCCAGGTTTGCACTGCTGGGGGCGCACGGGGGGCGCGTTTTGGAAGGACGTCACATTATACCCCTCCCAGAAGTGGACAACAATGCTGTAGCTGTCATTCAGCTATAGTGCGGTCAAGAAATGGTTAAGGTAGACAGTGCGCACTTTACTGATTTATTGATTCCTAAATGAATATCAAAGACATTTTAGAACTTAGTATGCTGGAGTAAAGTCATACAAAAACAACTTTGTTTTTTCACTTAGCACTTTCAAAAATGAGCAAACTAAGTGCTTTTGTGTTGCACATGTGGGATGACTGAAGTGAACACTTTTTCACTATGCTAACAGAACATTTTTATTTAGTAAATCAACCCCAATGACTTTCAATTACTGAACTAGTAGTTTGCCAGTGAAGTTGTTAATAAAGGAAATTTATTTTCTTTGGTATCTTTCCTATAGTAACTATTCAGATTTATTTTCATTGTGCTGTAGAAATGACAGTAGAGATGTGTACAATAAAAAAATTTGTATCGATTCAGATTCATTTGTTAAGTCAATAATTTTGTTTTGTCATAGTCATTATGTTCGAATGATTTCTTTTCAGAATTTGCATATTTGTTATTTTCAAATTAATTCAAAATTGACATTTAAATTTGAAACTTGAATTTCAAAATTTGAATTTTGAAATTCGAATTTCGGAAGAGGGCTATGCTCCTTCTGTATTATTCTATTCCAGCCATTTTTTTCTATTTTATTCTATTCTTTGTTCTATGTTCTATTCTATTCTATGTTCTATTCTGTTTTATTCAATTCTATTATTTTCTATTCTATTTTATTTTATTTTATTCTCATCTTTTGTACTATTTTCTATTCTATTCTATTCTTCTATTCTGTTCTATTCTATAAAGCAGCCTGTTTCCATTTCAAATTCATTTAACAATTCAAATTCATTTTTTTAATTCGAATAATTTGTTTCATTATAATTTATTTCTGATTTGTTTAAATTAGTCACTTTTGTGATTCAGAAATTTGGATACATCCGAATCTCTGAATAAGTAAAATTTCATCCAAATTTTCGATTTGTAATAAACCAAATTGCACATGTCTAAATGACTGTAGAAAACTGACTAGTAGCTATTGATTTTCTTATCAGCGTGCTTTTCATATAAGTCTCCTAAAATTCTTTAAAAACCTGTATGGCTACTCAAAGCGCTTTGGGAAAATCTTGCACAAGCTGACTATGGGTATGGACAGATATTTAATAAAATTCTGTGTTCAAAATGTTTAAGTGTGCAGTTAAGTAATGATCTAAAGGTATCATTCACACAAATTTATTTTATTGTTTTACATTGTGGAAAAACACCAATTCTTGAATACAATGGCAAATGTAAAAGGTGTAAATGCACTGCACTACAACTGCAATGGTGTCAACATTGGGTGCAAATACATTTGTAAGTAATGTACAAAAATGGTGAAAATTTTGCTAACAGCAATATACATTTTGATTGTGATAAAACTGATTTAGTCCTCTGCCATTTAGCATTACTTAGATTTAACAATACTTCCTTGCATTCATTAACATTTTTCAAAGTATAAAGAAGACTCTTAAGCACTCTCTAATTCTTTTTTTTTGTTTACAAGGGAAAATGTTGCTAAGTTATTGTTGGCTGAGTCTTTTGGTAGTTGCTGCTCAGTTGTGCATTGGTACTTAAAAAAAGATTTTTAGTCTTATTCCTAGTTTCATAATAGATAGAAAATACAACTGCCAGCTGGAAGGTCAAACAGCCAAAGAGATACATTTAGTTACTCTGTTCTTTTACAGATTGTCAAGAAGCCTGTCATGAGTTTTTATTTTTACTTGATCTAAATGACCTTTACCATTTTTGGTATGGCAGTTTGTTTTTAATTCCACACAATCCAGTGAAGACCATTTATATTCAGAGATTGTGCGAGAAGATGTCTAAGTGCCATGGAAATTAGTTCAAATGATGCAAGACGCCATGACCTTCAGAATGCCTCAATGATAGCAGATACCAGAAGAGGTGGCTGAATGTACATCCTTAGGGACCCAATAATAACACAACCATACAGAAAACAACAATGTTGTTTTTCTAAGCAAAGAGGTCAAATATGAAAGCGAAAAGATTCAACTGATATTTTTATAATAATACGTTTTGGGGAAACCTACAAGTTTCATAAAGCTGGCCAACTGACAAAATGTACCAAAATGAAGTGTAAAAGGTAATCTGAATAATACCATTAGATCAGGGGTGGGCAAATGTGGCCCTCCAGCTGTTGGTGAACTACAAGTCCCATTATGTCTCTGCCTTTGGGTGTCATGCTTGTAACTGTCAGTTTTTCAATGCCTCATGGGACTTGTAGTTCTACAACAGCTGGAGGTCCACAGTTGTCCACCCCTGCATTAGATCATATTCTGTGTGTGTGTGTGGCTTTAGCTCTCTAGAGCTGAGACAATAAGATTTTAAACTATCGGATTTAGTTGGGTCACCATGCCTAAACACTGTTAGGATTATTTACTAAAACTGGAAAGTGAAAAATCTGGTGCAACTTTGCATAGTAACCAATCAGCTTCCAGGTTTTATTGCCACCTTAATTGAACAAGTTGAAGTGAGAAGCTGATTGGCTACCATGCACAGCTGCACCTACTTCTGAGTGCACCGGTTTTAGTAAATCCCCCCACTGTTTTTACAGATTGAAAAAAGTGTGTTTTGTATTATTTATTTGTCTATATCGTTTGTGTGATCTGATTAACATGTAGGCTATTTAATTACCCTTTTATTTTAGGCAGGGCTGTGTTTAAACGTAATAATGTCCTATATACATCTGAATGATGGCAATCTATTCCACACATTTACCATGATATTATTTTAGAAAACTTATTTTAAAATGTGTTATTGGAAGAAGTGTGCTAAACGTTTTACAGCTATGTTTAACTATTTTTCTCAAATACAATAAAGGAGAAAAGTTTCTATTCTATTATAGTGAGTCTTCTAATTCCTCTCTGCATCTCAGGCACACACCTCTTCCTATGTGTTATTTACTGAATTTAGCCACAAATATCCAGATATGGGCAGAAGAAGGGAACAAAATAAGAAATAACAGCACTCTTTGTAATTGTTAGGCCATGGTGTAGCTTTTGTTACAACACTGCCTCAAGTACTGACCCACAAATATCATTACAAAAATGACACTTCTGCTTTCAGTTGTAGAAATTCTCACTGACCTGCAGATGAATTGAATTTATATGCTTGTTACCACAGTGGATTTTTGTAAACTAAAATAGCAGATGTTGTTATTCAATTTCTGGTGTATAATATCCTAACCTCACCTTATTTAAATGTTAGTTTATTCATGTTGGTTTCTTAGATGGCATGGCATGATGAACAGCTATGCAATAGCGTTGTTAGAAATCACTCTTTGAACTTCTGCATCTTAAATAGCAGGCCAAACTCTGTTGGGACTCTGTTTGGATTGACAGTCTACTGTGCTTACTACATCCATAACACATTCCCTTGAGTTTCGTTAACAGGTGTTCTTCATCCCTGTGAAAAAGGTGTTTGATAATAAAGCACAACAATAATTTCCCTTTCAAATACAGTCCTTTCTATAATTGTAATACTGTATGTATGTATAGAAAAATTAAAAGCATTTGCAAAGGATACATTTTCAAATAATATATATTAAAGGAAAATATCTAAAAAGGCACTGTGTAAATTATTACTCATTCATACCAGTTAATTTTTTAACCCAGCAATTTAAATACATATGTACTGTATACAGTTACTGTATATAGTATTATATTTTTAATTGAAAGTCATTCTTTTCCCTAGCCTCGTAGATTCCACTATACATTGGCATTCAGCCGAAAGAAGCAGCCAGTACTATCCATCTAAATCAGGAATCAGAAACCTTTTACACTTTACGTGGTTTATTTATAAAACAAAATGCATAG